ATAATAAATTAATTAAAGAAACCTGTATAAAAAAAAAAAAATTTTTTTTAAATTAAAAAAAAAAAAATCTGCCCCCCCTTCTTCTCTGTAACTTTGTAGTCCAGAACAAAGAGGAAAGATTTTCACTTACATGGAGTTGGGGAAAATGTATATCTGTAATTAGTCATTAATTTTGCATAAAAAAAATTTTCACAATTTTTGGGGATTCTTTTTGTTTGTTTTTTTTTACGAAAGCTGTAAATAAGAATTTGTAAACAAAAACAGAAAAAAAAAAAAAAAACCTTTTTAAAAAACCAAATACTGAAATGTATTCTGGTCACTTCAAATAGAAATTGGGAGAAGAAAAAAAATAAAAAAGGAAACAAGATTCTAAAAATTTATCTTTATTCAGAAAATACTGTTAATTAAAATGGATTTATAGAATAGAAAATTATTCCCAACCCCATTTTTTGTATGGTATCTTCTCATAAAACTCTTCATAGTAGAAAATTATGATCAGTGCTTTAAAAAAAAAAAGGCAAAGTTTAACTTAGGACTAGATAAAAAAATAAAAAAAAAACGATATGTCAAAAAGGATGTTTTTCTCTTGACACTGCTATTATCTCCCTTAGTTAATGGTTTTAAGAAGCCGTTTTTAAAAAATGTTATTTTAATAAAATCATTACTCATTAAATTAAATTGAATTCATACAAAGTTAATAAAATAAAGTCTTCTAATCAAAAGACACTAGCCTATAGTGTACAAAGGGACGTTAAAAGTGCTGGACTCAACCACTTTTTTCAAAATCAATATTTCAATGATCAAACATACTACTGATTTTGAAAAAGGAGTCAGACCTCAAAATTTTCAGTACCTTCACTCAAGTAAGAATTTTTCTTTTAGCCACTTCATAATAAAGTATGGATATAGTTTTTAAGTACTTTCAAGATATATTTTTTAAGCCTTTCAAGATAAATATTAGACAAAATGAAAACAGATTTACTAACTCTTGTACAGGGTGTGTAACTTTGTTTCTATGTAAAATATGAATATGCAGGAGTTCCTCTAATTGGGAATGTGTTAGGAGATAAGGTCACTTAACTGAGCCTTACCTACTGAAAAGATTTGTGTGGTTGGAAAACATGATCAGTTTTATAATTTAAGACCAACTGCAGAATATTTTCAGGAGCTTAAAAAATGTTTAAGTTTTTGCATTCAGGATGACATGAAATGAAAAATAAACATTGCTGTGATTAAATATGGCTGTATTTTATAATAAATTTACTCTTGTTTGATTTTTGACTGATATTTCTTTCACAGATGAGAACTTATTCAAATTCTAAACACAAAGATCTTACAGATGTATAATATAATATTACAATACCAGCCAGCCTGAACATTATCATGTTTTCCAGCCTCTATAAGATATATCAATAATTTAGCCTTTGTTTGCTGTTTGTCTGATATTTCTATCTCTCATAGAAGAGAAGTTATTAAGAATATAAATTGCACTGATTTAATAGACACTGTGTAGCATGTGTGTCTATATAAAAATCCTTATTTTATTAAATCCAAGAAACTTAAATATGAGATTGTCACATCCTCACTACAAGGGGAGACGACTGTCTCTTACACAATCTGTACTTGTAAGTGAGGGATGACTGGTGAATTTCTGATATCAATTTCTTTTACAAAATCTTAACATTGCATAAATGCACGATTGAATCCTACACAAAACAGTGCATTCTACATAAATTTGTTATTACTTTTAATTTCTTAGGTTAGCCGTTATTGAATAATTTACTAGTATTTCTTTCATCTTTATCTTTTTAACTGATGATCATGGAATAACAGTTCTGGCATTGCAATAAAAAGCAAAAGAAATTTAAGATGAAAAACTAGTTAAAAATTAACAGACAAACTAGGAAATTAAAAAAAAAAAATACCAATAATAATAGAGTGTGTGTGAATAAAGATGTATCTGATTTGGAGGGAAAATAAAATATCTATAGCTATGTAATTAGATCTGAATGACTGCTGCTTCTAGCCTTTGTAGCCTAATCAGGTAGTTGTGTTAAGAGAGGTTCCTGAGGTTAAAAGGCACAAGTTCAATTCTTGTAATAAGACTATTTTTAATTTTTTCTAGTCCATGTTACTAATATTGGTGAATAATTATTTTAAGATGAAAGAAAAGCAAGTAAAAAATCTACATACCTATTTGAAATAATAATTTAAGTCACTTTATCCTGGCCAATTCCAAGACATTGTAAATATATAGGAACAATTATATATTATAATGTAATATATTTTTTAATATAGATTATATATCAAATGCATAATCAAAAACACAATCATTATATATATATATAAAAACTGATAAAGTGTAAAAGCTTTTGTGTGACTTGTTTCGTTGACAGTATAGGTGAAATATATAAATTTTTATCTATCATGAACAATTTTAGGGGAGATTAAGCACTGTTTTATTGCCACTGTGTGCTTTATATATATATATATATATATATATATATATATATATATATATATATATATATACACACACTAAAGAGGCACATATTTGACTAAGACATTTGGTCAAATTTTGCAAAGTCAGTTGTGCTTTTTAGTACCAGCATGTATGTATAATATGATTAAAAAAATATAGTTTTAAGGTATGCTATATTTATGGGTTAAAGTTAGGTATATGCATGAGATCGCTAAAAAAAAGCGTATAGTCTGATGAAAAAGACGTCAAACTTGACGAAAACAAAATTTTATCGCCAAAATGTCTATGTTACGAGTAAGAGTAAAGAACAAAGTAATTTTTAATTATTTTTTAAAAATTTTCTGTCTCTATTACAACATTCTAACTTTCGATTGAAAAACTTGTTTCTCGTCACAACCGGAAGTTTTGGTAAAAATAACATAGCGAATTTTTTGTGCATTTTTTTCTTATGACACACATTAATTTTGAAAATCTTGAAAAAATAGAAATAATTGTCAGATTTTAATGAAACTTTCAGAAACTATTCAGAAATGATGGAAATTATTATAAATATGTTATTTTTTTTAAAAGTCATTATAAAAATATATTTTTTATACATATATTACCACCCCCATAAATGAATTAAAGAAAACTGTAAAAGTTTATGGACGAAGCAGGGAAGTCATTATATTAATAAAAACACAAGGCTTTGAGGAAAGTAAATCAGGTTTTCTTTTTTAAAAAATCCGAGCTTGTAAACCGAAAATCAGCTCTGAATTGTAACATACAAAACCCAATAAAACAAAAATACTATTTAATTTAAAATGGTTTTAGTTGCTTTTATTTGTTTTTATCAATATGCATAATATTGTCTGAAGGCAAAAAACTTTTTCGATGAAAAATGAATTTTTAAATGAATTAATTGTTATTTAATAAATTATTTTATTATTTTTTACATAAAGTTACTAAAAGTTGTTAAATATTCTAAAATTAGCGGTACTGACGAATCCTGTATATAATGCTATTTTTAGGTACCTATATCTGTACAGATTATAAATAGTACAAGGTTTTTACAATCAACGAAACAGCAATGAGAATAATCTTACTGTCCTTTACCCTATGTGTAGAAAAAAAAATCTTAAATCAAATGTACGGAGGCCCGGAAGAAACATGATCCAATAAAAACATCACGTGACTTGATTTGTACGGCACTGTTAACGGCCTTTACATTTATATAAAATTACTTTAAAAAATTTATAATAATTTCCATCATTCCTGAAAGTTTCTTTAAAATCTGACAATTATTTCTATTTTTGCAAGATTTTCAAAATTAATGTGTCATAAGAAAAAAATGAACAAAAAATTTGCCATGTTATTTACTAAAGTTCCGGTGATGACGAGAAACGAGATTTTTCAATCAAAAGTTAAAACGTTCTAATAAAGACAGAAAAATTTTTAAAAATAATGAAAAATTACTTTGTTCTCTCCCCTTAATAGTAACATAAACATTTTGGTAATAAAATTCTGATTTCGTCAAGTTTAAGGCCGTTTTTTCATGGTATGACTACTTAAAAATAACGAGATAAATAAGTTGTTAACATAAAGATAAATTGTCACTTACGACCTTCCGTACTACAAATTTCCGCACGTAATATGTCAGTGCGTGATGAAAAACACGCACTTGTCATTTGTCAATCAACACCGCAGTTCAGATCGGCTTTCTCCCATTTGAAAAAACATGTTTTCATCACAGAAAATAAGCAATCTTTGTTTCAAAATATACTAAATAAACTTTCTAATTTTTTTAAAATTAGTTAAAAAAAAAATCATAATTGATTTTTTAAATAAATTTTAAACGGCAACATTCACTTTTGTAAACAAACGTCAAAAACAACGGGAGATTATCGATCTTCTGTCGATTTTTCCGATTCAAAAAAAATTGAAGATTTTTAACGAAAATTTTGGACATGCTAGAAATTATTAAAAAATTTTTTAAAATATTCAAAAAATATTTTGATCATTCCTCTTGATAATAACATTAACATTTATACGATAAAAAATTATTTTAATCAAATTTAAGGCCTTTTTTATTCATGGTATGCTATTTTTTTATCGATCTCATGCACATACCTAGTTAAAGTGCTCAATCTTAGGGATAGAGCATATGTAAATATAAGTGAACTTTGAGGTCAACGCTCAGAGGCGACTTTCTGCTTCAGACTCAAATGCAATCTCTCAGGCCATTTTGATTTGTATAAATTGTTCTAAAAGTGAAAAAAAAAAAAAAAAAAAAAAAAAAAAAAAGAAACCAATGAGAAACAATAAAATGGGTCTTAACTTAAAATATGAAAATCAAATTAAAATTCATCCTATTTGAAAGGCCATATTTTGCTATATGATAATATTTGAAAAATGATGTAAATAAGTCCACTGTTTAATAAAACTAAACTCACTGGTCAATAAAATGTTTGTTGTTAATGACGTCACCTCTTCTCATGGTAAGAAGAGAAAATAAGTATGAAAAAGTTTTGTTCAGTCCTTAAAGAAATGTAAGACAATAGCTAAAGAAAAAAATGATAGCTAAGATTGCATTAAGTCTTGAGCCTCGGCTGTTGAAAGTTGAGGGACAGTTGGGTCCTTGACATTCAAAGGTTTCTGAAAGAAATAAAAATTGAAAAATCATGTTATTTTCATTTGGTGAGATTACAGAAAATCCAAAGTATTAAATAGAAGAATGTTAAACATATTTCTTTAAATATCTGATAAAGGATGGGTTTCATATTTAACACATATACAATACAAATGTAATAACGAAAAAGGGAAATCAAATATACTATGAATTTTTTTTAGTACCATTTGGGAACTAGTGTGGAGATAACAAGCAAAATTTTTTTCATTGTAAAATTTCTTGAACTTTTTATATCAGTTTGTTTCTGATGTGTGCACATATATATATATATTACACACACATACAGTATTTGATAGGTAAATTGTCACAATTTTAAATTTTTTGGTGCATGTTCATTGTTTTCAATTTTTCAACTGCACAGTATGGTAAGGTCAGTTGGGCACAGTCTATAAGAAAAAGAGCCCCATAACATAATTCACTGCACCAGTAATTTGGAAACAATATGCTGTATTGCTTGGTATTCAAACCAAAAGCTCCAATACAAACATTTAAGAGTGTTTGGGTGTCAATCTGAGAACAGTGCAGAGGATTCCGAAAGAGTCTAATGGTGATTACGAAGGTATGGCAACTTGGAAAACTCATTCTGATAAGAACTACCAAATTTGTTGGTAAGGGCCTCAGATTCAACACAGAGGCCTATCTCAAGTGACTTGAGGAGATAGTCTTTCAGCAGCCATCCTCTTGACCCAGGGCAGCACTATGTCTGGAAACAGGACACAAGCAGGAGAATCATGGCTGTCAGACAATTTCTGTGACCACATCATTCCTTACATCTGGCCACCTAACTCCCCAGACTACAACTCCCCCCCTTGATTATTGTGTGTTTGATACAGATGAGACCAACAAAACTCCTTGCAACATCAAAGATGAACTGAAGGCAAAGACTATGGCAGCATTCACCAAGGAAACCATTCAGGAGATTCCAAAGTCATCTGGAGGCTGTGGTTGAAGCCAATGGTGATTTTCTTGAATAAATTTTGGTAAATATATCTGTTAAAATGAGATGCAAGTGTTATTTTTTGTGTAATTTAGACAATTTATCCATTGCACTAATATATATATATATATATGTGTGTGTTTGTATATAAATACATGTGTAATATCTGTCTATATTTCTGAGATGAGGTATTATGCACATTATTTGGACTATTGTCCTCATCTTTGTCGCCATATTTATTACAACACAAATTCACACACAGATGTCCTCAAGTGGATAAAGGCATTAGTTAGATCCAGTGACCGTACCCAAAGAGTATGAGTTCAATACCTGGTTAAGGCAGTGGAGAACTTTCAGAGAGAAATTAACAGGAGATAACTGATAACTAACATACATTAAAACATGGCACTTGAAACTAGAACAGTCTACCCCAGTGAGCATAATAGATGGTTCAGTTCGACATTCCAACTACCTGAAGAAGGCCAAAACATAATGAATATGGCGACAAAGATGAGGACAATAGTCTGAATAATGTAAATGTATATTATATATATTATATATATTATTATTTATATATTATATGCGCAGTACTCATTAGAAAGCACTCAATATCAGAGATAGAGCTAACATATTTGGTTGGATTGATGTGAGTTTGTGACCCCGGGTTTCATGCTTTTGCAATCATCAGACAAAGTGATTAATTTTTAAAAATTTTGGATTTATGTAAGTTGCGTGTATTGGTGTTATTATGGAAGTGGGAGAGAAATGCTTATGCTGATGCAATTTGACATGCACTAGAGATGCTGGGAATGTTAAAGTTAAAGAGTTTTTTTTGTTTTTTTTATATGCTTTGGGTATATAATCTAGTTAATTTCATTTAATTTCTTTTTATTTGTTTCTATTACTTTTGTTTTTCAATGTCCCACCTTGTGAAAATAGAAGATCTGCCATCTGAATAATGAAATGTTAAGAACCTGGATTCAAATTCACAGAGGGTGATCTAGTGATTAAAGTACTTTCTAAATATTTTTTATCTTAGTGAATTGTTTTCTCTTTTCATTATATATTTCAAACATGAACTGATACCAAAAAGTTCAAAAAATATTACTATGAAAAAATATTGGTAGATTGACACTTAGTTCCCACTGTCACCTTCAAGAGGGGTGGCATCTAATAACTAGTGGAGGGATTTAAAAATTTTTTTTACAAATTCTTATTTTGAGGAAGGTCAAAATAAATTGGAATTGCTAATACCTTCTGTTTTAAGTTGAGGGGATGAAGTATAAAAGAAACTAAGTTGTAAGTGCTATAAATGGATATAGTTGTTAAAAAAAAAAAAAAAAAAAAAAAAAATTAAAATTGCTACTCCCACGTTCAGACTTATTAGGCACCAGTAATAGTCTTATACCTTATAATGATAATAATATAAATATATAATATAGTAATAGTCTCTTACCTGCTATTTCCACATTAGTTCTCAAACAGTATTAACAACAATTTCCCTGATTTTTTCTTTTTTTGTTATTACATTTGTATATGTAAAAAATATGAAATCTATCCTTAATCAGATTCTGAAATGATTATATATCTCATTTCACCCTATGTAACTTGATAATGCCACCGAGATGCAAGGGGTTACCGAGAGTGAAAGAAAATGAGAAAATATTAGTGAAGAGAATGGATAACAAACGAACAGGATTCAGAAAGACAGAAGATAGTGATTGATGTGGCATTTAAATTTTTGAAAATCATAGTTGATAGGAAAGCAAGCTGGAAGAGAGTTCACAGGCAAGAAGTATGAGTGAAATCATTAGAATAGAACTTACGGTTACATCTATTTCTACAGTAAAATGAGGAGACCTACTTGCCAATCTAGTAGTATGCTTAAATTCTTGAGATCGAGATACCAGACAGACCTTTTAGATGAAGGACTTCCATTATTATTAGCTTTTCTCCATCTTAATTTTGCCTTTTATCATTATGCTCTAGGTTGATATTCTTCAAATGTTGAAGTAGACGTCAGAAAATTGGGAAGAAAGCAGCAGCTTCCTTTGAAACTTAGACTCTCATACCACACCTCAGGACCATATCCTTCATGGACATTATTTTAATCAATTCGGTCACATAAACATGGTGATTAAGCAGAGTACAAATGTTCCATCTTGAGTTAAAGCTGGATTGATGCTTTTGTACATTCTTGGAAATACCATGTCAAACCACAATCTTCTCGGTTCAGCTGCTATAGCCCACAGGAATCACTTTTTTCTGTCTGTACCAGCATAATAGTTCCAACCACAACAGATGTCCCCGAGTCTGCTCGTAATGCCTATAGCAAGATTGGTTCTCATGACTACTGGTGGCTCTGTAACAGTGTGTTAAATAAGAGTAAGTCTTCTATACCTCCTCTCTTCACTCAATTTGAGGTGTTAACATCTTCTGTTGATAAAGCAGAATGTGTTGTTCATAAATTCTTTTTAAATTCTACTCTCAACTCATCTAAAGTACCTTTGCCTGACTTTCCACTTAGAATCGAGTCTCTTGAATGATATGCATCTAACTATATGGTTTATATATGGTTTCTACTTTCATCTCTAAATTGTATCCCCAGAAAACATGTGGACTTGATGCTATTCCTGCAACAGTCTTTAGCAAATGTGCTCCTGACCTGGCTTCTGTTCTCTCTAAACACTACAATAAATGCTTTGCTGTTTCTTGCTTGTTGGAAATCCTCTTTTGTAGTTTCAGTCTTTAAGAACTCAGGCAAAACATCTGAATCTTCTACTGGTCTATTAGCCTTCTACCTCTTTTTGGTAAAATCCTATTGACCATGAATTGATTAAGCATCTCACCTTGCAGTGTCTTCTTTCAGATGAGCAATATGGCTTTCACTTCTTTAGCTCGACTACTTATGCATTATCAATTATTGCTGAAAAAGTCTATCAAGTGTAGATAAAAATGGCTGTTGTTTTGAATGTCTGAAAGTCATTTGACCGAGTTTAGCATGCTGGTCACCTTCATGATATTTTTGGATTAATTTTTGAACCGATTCAACCTTATCAAATTGTGAAATGAAGTTGTCTTGAATGGCCACTTTTGCATTAATGCAGGCATTACCCAGAGATCTATCCTTAGACCTACATCCCTAATTTTCATCAACAACGTTCTTGATGTCATCAATTCGCAATTCGGTATCTATGCTGATAATACAACTATATACTGCTGTCTTTATACTAAGACTGGTCAGTTCAATGAGGTCAAATTGGCAGCTGATCTCAAAAATTACCTACAGTCTGTTGCTAACAAGGGCAAGGAATGGCTTGTTAATTTTAATGTCTCCAAAATAAAGCTAGTCTCTTTAAATTGTCTAAGAGAATCCTTTTTGTCTTCGATCAGCATTGCTGATGCTAACCCCCATGAGAATGACTCATTGCACCTTTTCATTTTCTGCTGACATGAAATGTAAGGATTATATAGAATCAATTGCTGGTGTGATGCTAGGAAAGTTAGTTCACTGTGTCATGCTAGACAATTTTTCTTGCCAGAATCTATCTCACATAATTATAAGTCTACCATTTGTCCATGCTTTGTATATTGCTGGTGCTTTTGCTATGTATTTAGATATTCTTGATAACATACAAAGAAAAAATCTGCAATATTATTGGTCCTGACATAGCATCTCATTTTCAGCCACTCCCCATCCCATGTAGCTTTTCTGTGCTTGTTTTATACATACTTTTATAGCAATTGTTCTGAAGAACCTTCCTTTTTGATATCTAGACTTTATGAATTTAAGTGCAATACTAGATTGACTGCAAGGTCTTATCATTTTATAATTTAAATGGCTAGATAGAAATGCAAGTTCTATGATAATAGTTTCATCTCTTGCACTTCTCGCTTGTGGAATTCTCTTCCAACTTCTTGATATCCAGTCAACTTTGATTTTCAAAAATTTAAATGCATCTAGATTACCCATGATCCATTGTGTCACTGATAGTTCAGGTTATAAAACATTGAAGTTGATTTCAACAT